ATTTTTTCCAAGATGATCACATTATTCCACAAAGCCAAAGATACATAAGTCTGGATTCTCTTTATACACGGCATTGCTCTCTCATTGTCCCACACTTGACTGACGGAGCAGAAGAATGAGGAGAAAATAATCACCAACCAAATATTTCAATTAGAAAAGAAAGCAATTATTATTATTCCACTACACAGCTTTTCATTCTGTTATGTGGCACTTAAGTCAACTCTGAATATTTTTTTAAATTAGGAAATACATAGTTATTTCATTTATTTGACATTCATTTTATTGTGAAATACTGTTTGCCGTTTCATTATCAGTTTGTGGTTGGCTATTATTGTGTATGAGGGGTAGGAGCATATAAGGACAGCACATACTTTTCATCTCAGTGTGAAAAAAAATCTTTATCTTCATTACTCTTGCAAATAGTACCTTAAAAAAATATGCCCAAATTCCTGACTTTTACTAATAACATTTAAGGTTATTTAACTTAAAATCATTGCTTCATCTCTATTGAGGGTGAATGGTCTGGTACTATAGTGCCTTTCTATTCAGCTGACTGTCTTATTACATAATCACACACACACACACACGCACACGCACACACACAACACACCACACCACACACCACACCACACACACACACACACGAGTAACTAACTTGCCCAAGGATACTTTAGCATGCAGACTGAAGGAGTAAATATGTAGTCCCAGAAATTAGTATATATTTGCACCATCCTTAAAAAAATCTGCATGATGTTCAGTAAGAGTGTAAGACATAATAAATAAAGTATATTAAATATAAAAAATATTCAGTTCAGCTTTATTTCCATAGCGCTAAATCACAACAAGCGTCCCCTTGAAGTGGTTTATACTGCAAGGTAAAAACTTTACAACATTAGAGAGAAAGCCCCAACAATCAGAAAATCCCCCATGAGCAGCACTTGGAGGAAAAACTCCCATTTAGCAAGTAAAGACCTCCAGCAGAACGAGGCTCAGGGAGGGGCGGCCATCTGCCACAGCTGACTGGAGGTGAAGGGAAAGAGAAGAGAAAAAAGGAGAACACAGAAAGACAAAGGACAAAACACAAACTATGGAAGGAAGAAGACAAGAATTAATGACGTGCAGTGGCAAATAAAATAAAAGTGAATAGAAGGGAGTGGAGATGAAGAGATCGGTGTGCATAATGGGAAGTCTCCTAGCCTGAACCATATGTTTTACCAAAAGGTTTTAAGCCTAATCTTAAAAGTAGAGGGGGTGACTGTCTCTTAAATCCAAACTGGGAGCTGGTTTTACAGAAGAGGAGTCTGATGACAGTTGAAGCCTCAAATACCACAAGTAAGCTTGCAGTCTGAGAGGAAAGTGGCCTGTTAGGATAACCATGAGGTCTTTAAAATATGACAGGACCTAATTATTCAAAAGTTTGTATGTGGATGGATTTAAAACTTCACACTGTATTTTATAGGGAACCAATGAAGATAAGCTTTTTTTAACCCCATAAACAATAATACGCCACGCTGTGTGCAGAGACTCCTGTTTGGAGTGATGTTAACCTGATGAGAAGCTGCCTGCGGTGCTCTATTGTTTCTGGTGTGACACACTGTCTGATAGATGCTGTCAGATTAATCATTGATCATCTCGTGTTTCCCTCAGCAGCCGGTGACATGGGGATAGAGTCTGTGTTACTGCCGCTGCATGTACAACAAACAAGCAAGCACATAAATAATACAGGTTCTACACAAAGTGTTCCATTGTACTAAGAGATCTGGATCCATCTCTGCCAGCAGGTAAACACTACAGATGTCTAAATCCCTGTAACGGGAAGCACGAGGAAGGGTTTTTTTGTTTTGTTTTCCTGTTACTGTCATTCAACGCCCACTTTTTGCGCATGATTCCCCACCGTTTTACCTTTTCCGCTTTCGTTCCTCATTTCTCTTGTGTTCTCTCTCTCTTGTTCCTTGCTCCTCTATTCTGTCTTCCTTTCCTTTTTTTTCTCTCCCTAAATTCTCACTAAACACATCTTTGTTGGCAAAGATTTTAGAGAATTATATAAAGGAAGGGGAATGAAAAGGGGGGGGGAAAGCCTACAAAAGGCGTTCTTCAAAACACAATATTTGCACCATTATCATCTTAATAAACACACAAATGTCAAGAAGAAGAGCTACAACACAGCCGCACAATACACACAAAAGATGACAAGTATGGCAGGGCTTTGTTTACAGAGTAACACCTCTGTAGAAGTCCAGCCTATTAGAAGCAAATAAAATGCATTACATATATTAAAGCTTTAATTACTTGCTGTAATTGAAAACACACGCACACACATATACACTAAAGACCCCATATTCGCCTCACCTCGTTGCCATGGCAACGTGGGGCTCAGGTGATCTCAATATATGAAACCGTGAAAGCTGGACAAACCGGTTCTGCCAGGTGAGACAAAAGTTGGACATCCAAACAGCAGCCAAGAAGAGGAGTGACAAACCTGCTGCCCTCTTCATCTTTACTCTGAAAAACCTTTGCACGGTGAAAAATCACTGAATCACTGAGCCTTACACGGATTCCTGACGGCTGGAGTACTTTGGGTGTGTGCTTTTGTATTGTACTAGACCTGTAACCATTTTATTACATGTCATAATTTAGATGTTAAATTTTCACAATAATATTCTCGTTTTTTCATAACCTGATAAAAAGAAAATGCTTGGATTTGGTTGTTTTAATGAATGAATTTAATGAAAAGTTCTCTAAATCATTTTGAAATGTATAAGTGTAAAACAAGCTTCTTTTTTAAAAAAAATATAACATCTGGTTATTAAAAATAAATGAGTAAAAAGTAAAAGTCTGTGAGTCAGTGATTGCCCCCAGCTCAGGTGAAACATGAAGCCGTGGAGCCTCTGCGGTAGCTGAAACTTTATCCGCGGACTCTTTGAAAACAGTCAAAACAGACATGAAAAAGAAGAGCTAACTTCCGGTTATGTATTTTCATAATAATAGCGTCTGCACAACAAGCTCAAAGGTTCTCCTGCAGTTTTAAATAAAAATGTCGAATAAAAAATTTAAAAAAAGAATTTTATTGTTTATAACTGTTAGCCCATTCCTCATCCTGCTTTTCTAAAGTTCTATTTCAGTTTATATATTCAAAAGGGGCAATGCAGTTTAGCATAGTTCCTATATGGAGCATGATAAGGATGTGCTGCCAGAGTTTATAGCCATTGCTTATTTCAAACCCTTGTCCCTTGCTGGGCTTTTAAATCCACATTGCATAGAGAAGATTTACAACTTTCAATTACATGAAACCATACTACACTGTAAAAATAAAATTATAATAAATACACATAAAAGAAATAGAGTAAATAGAGTAAAAATAAAAGAGTAAGAATATCAGTGTGTGGGGTATTTTTCACGCAAAGCATTTTTATGCCTGCATTAAAAGAACATTAAATCAACCTCAGCTGGTGTAATTAAACGATAGGCAAACATTTTTACATTGCACTTCTTTGTTATCACATGCATTGGTTTTTGGAAGCATTTGTCATACTGTGTACTCTGTCACAGGTGTAAATGTCATACATGATCCAAACTGTGAGGCTCGTGACAAAGTTGTTTACTCTAGAACAATATACCCAAGGAGTGGTCAGTATCAGCAATGAATCAGGTGAAGCAGAGCACAGAATAAGTTTGGCTGTTTTGCCATGTGTGGAGTCAGCATCCCAAGCTCACAATTTCATGGTCATCAGTGTTGTCACCACAACCACAGGTGTTGTGGACAGATGTTTAACATGGGTCCTGATCTTGGAACTGAACGTGAATTATGAACGTGATTTTTGGGATTGCAGCTGGAATGCTGAGCAGCATCCCTAAATCTTAGGTCACTCTGCTCCTCTGGAAAACAACGGCTTGCTCCATAAAGGAGAAGAGAAGGAGTTCAAGTACTTCATGGTACTTTTTATGAGTAACAAAGCGACCATGAAATCCACTGCAAAGTCACTCTACAATACCTTGGACATGATAAGAGAGCCAGGCAAAGGTAAAACTCTTGATATACCAGTCAGCCTACATTCCTGCATTTACCTGTGGTTGTGAAATTTGTCTAATGACCAGAAGTTTCCTTTGCAGGGTGGATGGATTTACTAATCAGGTGAGAAGTTTGGAAATCCAGTGAGGAGCTAAGAATACAAGAATACTTTTTTGTTTTTATTTTTTAACAATAGACACCAATCAATTATTAACTGCAGACATTACATATCATTAAATGCATTAAATGTAGAAAATGTTCAAAGCTGTATTATTATGTATAATGTTAGTGTTATTATTAGTATTAATGCATTAATGTGCAAACATCATTTTTACACTGTACCCAGTGACGATGCATATGTTGTATGCGAAATATCAAAATGTGATGCATCTCAGGAGACCATGGTGGTAATGGTGTTACAAACTCCCAAATATTTCACATATGTAGTTTTTACAGATCTTTCTTCAGTATTAATCACACATAATTGTAACAGCTACAAAACAAATGAATAACACTGGAATCAGTTCAATTCAATTTTATGTATATAGCGCCAAATCACAACAACAGTCTACTTGGGTGACTTTACATTATAAGGTAAAGAACCCCCAACAATCAAATGACCTCCTATGAGAAAGCACTCGACGACAGTCGGAAGGAAAAACTTACTTCTAACAGGAAGAGACCTTTGGCAGACAGACAAAAGAGTCAGACGTTAGCAATAACTAATTATTAAATGCAGAGTAGTGTACTGGTAAAATGAGTGGAAAAAAAAGATGAGTGAAGAAGAAATCACATGCATGAAGCAGGAAAATATAAAAAAAATTCGGGTTTCAATTTAATCTTTCACGTTTGAATGCAACTTGTGACGACATGCTTTTATTTTGTACGTCCAAACCTCTATCTTCCGGCGCTTCTGCCGTCGTTTGCCGCTGTCTTGTGGCGGCGTCGTTCGGGCAGCATTCCAGTCACGGTGTTTGGAGCGGCTCGGGGAGGCGGCACATTCCTGCGTAGGCGCGGTGGACTTTCCCGAACTGGACGTTGTTCCGTGTGGGCTGGAAAAAAAAGGCGTTTAAAGTCAGTGGGAGCTAATGAAGCTGCTGGTGGGCCACGGCAGCTGTTAGCCGCTGTCAGCAGGTGCAGAGCTGAGGGAGGGGAAAAATGGCCCGGGAAAAGAAATCTGAACCTGTACCTGCTCGTCTTCAGGGAGTGTGACAGACTGATTGGAGGTGAGAGATTAATTTTGTTTCTCTTGTAAAAGACGAAAAGGAAAAGTTCTTAGTGACAAAGGTGCTGTAGTGTTTACTCACCGAACTGACCGGCGAGTTTCATAAAGGTGGTTAAATGAAGCGTACATAAAAGTATGAAACACCCTTTAAAGTTAACCTTCGGTCGGCATACTTGCAAATAAAGACCACTGGCGTGTCAGTGAGCAAGTAAAAACCACTGAAGAGCAAACAGACATCAAGCTGCCTAACAGTGAGTTTATTATTGCGGGTGCTTGGCTACTTAATAATGCATTAACAGTTTGATTTCAGTGTTTTTGGCCATGGCCGGCTGCGGGCGGTGGTGCTACAGCACCTGCGTGTGCTGTCTGTCCGAGGAGGAGAAGAACACCATTGCTGTGGACAAAGAGATCAAGAGGATCCTGAAGCAACAGAAGAAGAAGGAGAGGAGGGAGATTAAAATCCTTTTGCTGGGTCAGTAGAGCACCACACACACCTGTTGGTTCATGCAACAAAATAAAAACCCCACAAAAAACAGGCTAAACAGACATTAAACTGCATTTAAAATTTGACAAGATACCCTAAGGTACACCCTGCATACAAATCAAGACTGTTTGGTGGCCTCTGCACATGAGTGTATAAGCTATGTAAGGCATGTGTCACCATGTGAGTATGTGAAGAATGAACGATGAAAGTAGGGATTGGTTATGCCACCTGAAAACCACCTGTGGCACACGGCCCAGAAACATACAAGCCCAGCTTTGTTTGGGTTTTCTTACAGTTAGTCTGACAAGTTTCGGATTATCTGATTTTAAGATAATTTCACCTTCCTGGCAGAGATACCCTGAGCTGGTGTCATAGGTGAAATATTTACATGATAAATAGTCTAGCTGACAGAAACTCAACTGACAAGTTGATTATTCAATCGTTTGAATTTGAATATCTCTATGTGCTGACTTTATTTTGTCTTGTTTCTGCAGCTTCTCTGCTGTTTGTTAGACAAAACCAAGTCATTTGAATATATACACTTTTCTTTTTAGTGCTTGTGTCAAACAGCAACCACTATAACACAAAGACCAGAAAGGTTGACACCCTTGTAATTATCAATGCATGATCCTCTTTTCAGATCCATACTTTCATGCTTGTACTTTAATAGAGTCTTAGTCATGGTTCATAATTAACCTAATCTGTAGAGCAGATTGAAGACAGAGCTCACAGGAATTACAGAAAATCAAGTTTATGATGAATCAAAAGATCATAAACAAGAGATCCCTCGCCGGAGAATGCTTGGACGTTCATTTCTCGTAATATACATATACGATTGAAACATGAGGTAGAACATCATAGGTCCACTTTATTGACATATATTGAATAAGTGGGCAGTGCAGTGTTGCAGGAGTTAGCGCTGTCGCTCCATGCTGGGGCCTTTCTGTGTCAAGTTTGCATGTTCTCCTTGTATCTTTGTGGGTTCTCTCTCGGTACTCCCGGGTCCCTCGTGGAGTTCAGAGACCTGTGTTTGGTTAACTGGCTGTAGGTCTTTTTTGCATCAGAACCAAAAGAATAACACAAAACCAAATCCAATTTTTCTAAAAATGTCTAATACTGTATTAGTTAATCAACTATCTGTCTCTGCAGCTATGCGTGAACCACAGTATCTTTTATGATAGCTATGCTGCTGCTTTGTGGCACTGTGAAAGAGCAGCAGATACCCAGTAAATAACACACAGTAAATGAGCGTGTCGTTTTTTGGGATGTTTTCAGCAGACTAAGACGATAATGAGACGTGATACACGGGGGCCAGTTTTTCTTACGTCTTGTACAAAAATTTCTGTTTTGCAAAAACTGGACTGTCAGGAAAACATCTTCAGCACGTCTCACACAAACGCTGCTTTATGATTTTCCTTCAAAAGTCGTCTTGATTCCCAGAATAAAAAGTTTCAAGAGTTTCGTTTCCTCTAGCTGACAACTGAATAAAACAAATACATCCAAAGACCACTCACTCTTTCGTCTGAGTGGTTAAGTTAGGATTTCAGGAGCGTTTACTGAAGTCTGTTCAGTCCTCTGCACTCCTTGTCTGAGTGCAGGATGCAGACTTAAAAGATTTAGGCCATAAAAAAGTATAAATGCAATCACAGAGGCAACACAGGAACCATAACAGATACCTGAAAATTAGACAGAGGAAAAGATAGAACTATTTATACACAGAGGGTTGATTACACAGGAAACAGGTGGGAAACAAGGCACAGGTTAGCGCGCTTAGCACAGGTGAGAACAACAAGATATGAGGGGAGGAACAGAAATAAAACTATTAAAAATCAACGCATTCAGCACTAGAATAAAATAAGAACTGAGACTGAAATAATAAAGAAATGAAAAATAGGAATGAAGAACTCAACCAACAGTAATACAAAACACACAGAGCACTAAAACATCAGCGAAAGCAAACAGAACCCTAAAATAATAAACACGACTTAAAACCCTGGGACTGTAACCGTGTGAGAAGCAGCGTAAATCCAGGGCGCTCGTTATGAAATACAGTCACCACACAGAATGATGTGGATACAAAACAATAAAACAAGAGGGGCATAAAATGTTAACAATAAACCGAGGTGTAACAGAACATAAATCAACTTTTCCCCCTCTCGTTCGGTGTATCTTTAACAGAGTATCTTTGATTCTAGTCTGCAGAGAAGGTACCTGCAAGCTGTATATCAGGCCTTTTGTGTTTTGAATTGAGTGCTCGTTTTTCAGCTTCCTGTGGAATAAAGTCTCCTCATCACGCTACTTTATAGTTTATATTCACAAAAAAGCTTAAGGTTAACACTTTGATCTCCCTGAGGCTACAGGAGGAACTTACCATAGCCTTGGATGCAAAAGAGAATGATTACGTGTTGTTTTAAAGCTGCTTTTCTGACCACATCTACACCCACATCTATGAGAATATTTTTTTAAACTAGGAGCTTCTGCTTTTGTTTTAAGAGACCATCCCATCCACATGAAACATCCACGCTTTTCAGTGACCCTAAAAAGTTGATTCTGTTCATGTGGACGTAGCTTCTTGAGATTTCTTTACCTGGATGATTGAGCATATGCATCAAGACTTCTTTTCAGTGACCTAAAACATGGTTGTGGACAAAAGGCCAAAAACCGATATAAAAAACTGTTTTCCAAAATACCTGTGTGTGTGTGGGAAGGGCTTAAGGATAGTAGAATATGATGCAAACACCAGCATACCTTTTAAAGATGTTGTGTTAAATGTTTAGTAAGCACAGATATTGCAAAAACACTATGAGAGCCTGCAAAAATATACACATGCAACAGTGATAAAAAACAAAGAAAAAACTTTGTAACTGTAAAAGTGAGACTGACGTTGTGTAAGAGTAGTGCACGTTCCATTAATAAATAACATGTACACTCTAAATCTAAGAACAACATTTGCGTGGAGGTGCAATACAGAAGTATTTGTAGAATCTTATGCCTGACAGGTGTGTTCACCTGTCACAGAACGAGGAGTTATTATGTGGTTTTATATCAGTCTGAGGGAGAAGAGCTCTGCAGCCTTTTTTGTCTGAAAGGTGCTGAAGTATTCTTGGAAATGAACGGGAGTTGTGTTCATGTATGAATGTATGAATTACATTAACTCAGGTAGCACCATCGTCCCATCCTCTTAAATATACTGCTCACAGATAAGTGCTTTAACCTTCTCTCACAATTACAGCGTCTCCATTTTTTTCCATGGGAATGCAGTGCATATCTGGCCATTTTTAAAGCACCGTTATTTTCAGTTAACTCGATCTCATCTTTGCTCTGAGGAAACCTGAATGAAGGATTTCTGCTTTAAATGTAAATTATTAGCTGTTCTGTTTGCTGCCTCAGGGACTGGGGAGAGTGGAAAAACCACCTTCATCCGACAGATGAGGATCATTCACGGACGAGGCTACTCAGAGGAGGAGAGGAAGGCTTTCGCCAAATGCATCTACCAGAATATCTTAACTGCCATGACTGCAATGACAGGAGCGATGGCCACGCTCAGAATTCCCTACTCCAACCCACAGAACGAGGTAGATGCAGCATAAACACACACAGACACACCCAGTTACACATCAACGCTTATTCATAAACACGGGCGCCAGCGCAGGTGTGCAGGCGTCTGACCAGAAGTGCACTCCCAGGATTTGTGGGATTACGCCCACATTGAAGAAGAAGCATGAAACACGCTGACACCAATATACGTGCATAGCGTTCTGCAGCCTATAAATAGCTGGTGGTTTTACTATAAACATGCACAAATCCTTGGTGCAAAGCATCTGTTGAAGGATTAATTACACAGGATGTTAAAAAGCTTTGTATTCAATGTTTTTTAAGCATTCATCATGAAATCTCCTCACACTGAGAATCTTGTGCTGTCCTCCAGATTTACGCCAAGAGGCTGGAGGACGTAAGCATAGTACAGGTCACCCAACTGGAACGGGGCCATGTTGACGCAATCCGCCGCCTCTGGGCAGACTCGGGAATACGTGCCTGTTACAGCCGCCGCTGCGAGTACCAACTCCTGGACTCTACAGAGTAGTGAGTAGCTGTGCTTTGCTAGAAGTCAAAGCTGCACCACACCCTCTGTGAGGGCTGGGACGCAGTATCACATGATGAAATGCTGTCACAACAAAGCACCAACAACAATATCAGGATATGGGAAATGATGATAGACGGCAAGTTTGGAAGAAAGTGCACGTCGATATCTGTGGGGAAAAGGGGATAACCATATATAGACAAAACGTAGTCTTTGAATTCAGGTGCTTTTAGCCTCATTGCCACAAGGGCATAAAATCAGGCACCTACGGTAGGCTTGAAGTCAGCCTTTATAAACATTTGTGAAGGAACTGGTCGTTCTTAAGAGCTTACCGAATCCAAGCGTGGTGTTTTAATCCGGTCATTAAGTGATGACGTGACCAATCCTACTCCCGGGCCTAAAGTAGTCTGCGTTTAATATGGCTTTTGTGTTGTTAACATGTTTAATGTTTTGTATTTTCTTCTATTTGATCTCAAAAAGCTCCTAAAACAGTCAGTGATCACTGTTGACCTCCCTCGGCTTTTATTACCACTAATCGTTTATTTAAGCTCAGTTTTTAAAACCTTAAGATGTAACTACAGCCCAGCCCATGCAGCAGTATATGAATGACTAACCTCATATTGTGGATGGATTATCTCAGTTGTTCTCCTGGCTGAAGTTTGGTCCTTTTACAGCATCCTGCCATGCGATTACATTTGTTCCTGACCACCGAGAACACTCACGGTAACTTTTATCGAGTGGAAAAAAAGTTAGCTTGTTTATATTATGCTAACATAGCTGTGTCGCTAGCGGTCACGTAGCACATCATTATATACCAGCTAGCCCAACTTCAGTAACCCTACAAACGTCACTGCTGTTTAGTTTTCTGTCTTCATTTATGTTGGAAGTGATAACAGAGCTGTACGTTTAAATTTTTTTCCAAAACCCCGCAGTCAGGACATGCTATATTGTATTTAGATAGAAGCTAGCGAGCTAACTCCCTGCTAACTTCTAACTCCGTAAAATGTCATAAATTCCGTTTTCATGGATGCCTGGATGTTAAACTCAATTGTTACACCTGGTAGAGCAGAACGCTGATAATTGTATTAAAGATGAAAGACTTTAGACAGTTTTTCAACTCTCAGTAGTGCCACAGTGATCGTTTGATATATGGACCTGCAGCGGAGTTTAGGCCCAGACGCGGCTAGTGACGTCAGACTGAACGACCGGATAGGATGCCACCACTGCAACAAGTCAGTCTGTGAAGTTTTTTCCCTTGTGCATATTCCACGATCCACTGTAAGTGGCAGCGTGGAAGCATTTAGGAACCAGAGCAACTCAGCCATAAAGTCTCAAACCATGTAATGGACAAAAACTGTGTGCCTGGAGCTTCATAGCATGGTTTCAATGGCTGAGCAGCTCCTGTTGGTGTAATGTGTAGGTAGCCTGGTAATTTTGTAACTATTCAGATTTTGTTATCATCATTATTGATCAAGCTGCTAATTTTTTAACATCCCAGAGCCAAGAAAAACACTCAAATCACAAACTAAATAATTCTAACTCATTATTTTAGGCTGTTGTTTGGGGAAAAAAATCCAACTTAAAACAGAAATGGCTACAAAACCTTCAGTTCAAAATGAACAACCTTCATTTCTTTCAACAAGAGACACGGCATGGCATTCAGTCAGTGTGCCGTTGCTTATTATCAGTCTGAAAAAGTCTTAATAAATAAGTAATACATAAAGGTGTAACATCACAGCCATAAAACAGAGTCGGTGATGCTGATTCTGTTAAAGCTGTTACACAAATGATGCAACAAAAGATGAGCACAACAAACCCGTCATCCGTTGTAGTCATACTAATAACAGCTGTCCTCTTCAGTGAATGTGCTACATTTAGGCAGGAAGAGATTAAAGTGCTCCTTCTACGCTGTTTGGGGTTTCCATTTTTGCTGTTTTTTTAACGTTGTCACGATATAATAACATCTTTGGTATTCATTTAAATACCAAAGATGTTATTTGAAGGTTTTTATGTTGGCTAAAACAATGAGTTGAGCAGTCTAAGGAGCTTGGAAAGAAAAGAAAAGCGTCTGGACTTCTTTAAGTTGCTTGAAGATGTTTCACCTCTCATCCGAGAAGCTATTTCAGTTCTCGGATGAGAGGTTAAACGTCTTCAAGCAACTTAAAGGAGTCCAGACGCTTTTCTTTCCAAGCTCCTTAGACTATGATGACCTGGATGACTGAGAACCTTCACGGACAATGTCTCGAGCATTTTTGGATATTTTATCGACCAACTTTTTCCAGTTTGATAAGTTCTAGGATCCCTTCAGATTTATGCCCTAACTGTGTCATTTTTTCCATTTTCCACCTCTGCTTTACTCACTGAAATTGTACGTCGCGCTCACGGAGGAGTCTTCAGGTTTTATAGCTACATCACAAAAACCATTTTAAGCCACAGTGTAGAGCTAACCTCAGACAGGCTTTTTATTATCAATGGGGAAAGACACAGTAGGTGTGAGCCTTACGCTAAAAGTATCTCAAGTGTCACAGAACAAAGTGTGGGCTCAGCCTGCATGTTTTCTCTCTTTTATACTGCTGTTCTGGTCTGTGTTTACCCGGCAGTTCAGTCATCGCGGTGCGTGCTTGATAAGGGACAGGCAGTCAACATTAGCTAATGACAGCTTGTATCAACATGAGCCATAAAGCTGTGGTCTGTACACAGGTTGATGTGGACTTGCTCCATTCCCTTCTTGCATTTTTAATCAGTTTTTTTCTTTTCTGTCATCACCGGTTCACCTGTCATTGCCGGATGCAAAGTAAACAGAGGCAATATTTTTCAGTAGAAATATCCTCTAGTGTGAGAAACAGATTTTTTTTTTTGCCGTTGTAATATTTTTTCTCTCTTCGGCCCCATCGCGTCTCTCTTTCAGCTACATGAATAATCTGGACCGCATCACCTCCCAGGACTACATCCCCACGGAACAGGACGTGCTGAGAGTTCGATTCCCCACCACGGGCATCCACGACTACTCCTTTACCGTCAATACCATCACACTAAGGTGACCAATCCTCGGATTTCTAACCTCTCACAGGGGCAAATCCAATACCTTCACTATTCACTGCACTGTGAAAAAAATACTATTGACTCTTGCAGAGGCTTTGTCTGCTCACGCCTGCTTGGACGCAATAGGATCGCATTTCTGATTGCCTCTGTGCAGACTTCATGTGGGTTTTATTTTGAAAATGTGTAGGCAGTCAGACTAAGCTTTGACAACAGCTCCAAAGCTTATTTCTAAAGGACATTGTGTTCCAACATATTATCTTAAAATAATAACTCTTAAAAGCATTTAAAGTTGACCTAGTAAAAGCCTTTCTTCACTTTCTTTCACATGTATACTGTTACAGAGGGGGAGTGCTGATATTAAACATGGCCAAAGTTTCACTGTGCGTGTACAAGTAATCCCTATGAGCCAAAAGATCACACACTTTGTGTCAGGCAGTTATTTTTACTCTTGAATCTTTATGATGTCACAGAGGGAGGGCATCCTTGGCTTTCAGCACAGCAATCCCAACAAGCAGGTGACCAAAATAAGCTTTATTTAAAACTGTGAATCATGCAGAGCTCTTCTGCTAGACTCTAAGAATACAAATATGGAGCTGGAAATGAAAATAATGATGCACTTTAAACTAAAGAGAAAATACATCTGGATAAATTAATGGCAAAATAAAAAAGTGAATGAAAGGCAAAGAGGCATTTTTGTCCTTTAATAAAGTGCGTCATGTTCTAAGAAGGACATCTCCACTTCACATCGCAGCTTATTAGCACATTACTGATGTGAGGGCACCGTGTAAGCACTGAAATGGTGGGAAGGGCTTGTTTTTCGTGCATTTGTACATAAGCACATTGGCGTTCACGAAGGTTTTCTTAATTTGTAGTGCATCTTGGGTACAGCTGTAAGTGGTTTGGGAAATGCTCGGAGCAATGGAAGGGAACCTTGAGCTCAGTGACGAGGTGTGGCTGACCCCGTTGCTAGGTGTGACGTAGTTTTTCAAAAGGTGGACACAAAACGGCTAGTTATAAAAAGGCCTGATTAAATAAATTAGCATCCATTAAGACATGCTGTAATAATGAATACTATTTTATGCAGTGAACATCTTTGTTGAATAAATTGGATGCCATACTTCACCTCTCGCAGGGACCTGTTCCAATGTGGATACTTGTTATATTCATTTGCTTCATTTGCTAATTTTAGTACTTAATTGATTTAATATTAACAAAGGAATTAGCTCACATCAAGTACGCAGGGACACAGGAAAACCTGCACGTTAATGAATGCCTCTTGTGTGATTTGCTCGTGCAGGGTTCTGTCATAGTTTTTGCATTTTTCCTAGGTGTGCCAGATGCCTCACTGTCTCGATCACTATCATTGTTGGCATTACAGTGTTACTTTGTTGGGCAGGAGAAGTAAGCACATCCCTGCTCGATCTCGCGTTTGCCGCTTCAGCAGCTCACGGTCATTTGGCAATTTGTCGTTTGTTTGTTCTTTTACACGTTTCCTTCCTCTGATCCTTGATAGGATTGTGGACGTTGGCGGTCAGAAGTCGGAGCGGCGGAAGTGGATCCACTGCTTTGAAAACGTCACCTCCCTCATCTTCCTTGCGTCGCTCAGCGAGTATGACCAAGTCCTGGAGGAGAAAGACACGACTGTAAGAACTCCTGTGACTCTCATTCAGTGTACAGCTGCAGAAAATGAACACAATCATAGGATCTGTGCAGATTTATCTACCGGATAGTTTACCAGCTATTCTAAGGTGCTTGGAATATTTATATGTAGGTGCTCAGCCATCCAGGTAACTGGACTTCTTTAGGTTTGCAAAGATGCTTCACCTCTCATCCCAGGTATTTAAGAGAGGAGTTCCAAGTATTTAGCCTTATGAGGGGTTGTCTTCTGAGGGTTGTTGACCCACGATTGATCATCTGCAACATCACATGAAAAAAAAAGGCGTGGGTTATTACCTTCAATGAGAATGTTGAAGGTTGAAAACACTCGTAGACTTTGCTCCAGCGCACCATGTGACCTATCGAGGTCACCTGAGTCGAGGTGTGATCGGGGGTTGAAGGTCCTGGAAAGGGTTATCGAGGCTGCGTTGTAGGTGGCTGACGGATGGTGTCGCAATGCCGTGTTTCGGTTACCTGAGTCAGAACTTGGGAGTTTGCAACACTCTGTTTTCACTTTAGCTCCTTATATGTTGTAACGTCGCTCTTCTCCTCGGCTGGCTGGTGACCCAACAAAAACACAAGCAACAGTGGCCCACAGACCGGTTGTACCACATGCTTTGTACACTGCCTTCATCCGACATCAGAGCTCACTGCAGGCAGACTTCTGCTCAGCCAAAAAAAACAAAAAAACGGCTTAAGGGTGAAAGCACAGAGAGACCTTGCCCCAACCCATCATGTGACCTATTGTGGTCCCCTGAGGCAAGGTCTGATCGGAGGTTGAAGGGATCTCAAGCCTGCACTGTAGGTGGCAGACACCACCTCAGTTTAAAGATGGCCGTTCACTCTGGACATAGATTGTGCAAAATACACAGCACATGTACATTTACACACAGCATACACTGGGTTGTTTAGCTTATGTTTGGGGGTTTTGTAATTTGTTAATAAAGAACAAAGTATATATATATGTACCAGAGTCATAAATGTGTCTCTCACTACAGTCATTCCATCGTTTCACCAGCAGGTCTCGCTCTTGTACAACAAAGCCTCTCTCTTATCTCCTCTCAGCCTCTGCAGCCCCCTATCGCCTTCTTCTTCCCTCCCATCCTGTCACTGATCCGTTTATCTCTCCCAGACACTTTCTGGTCTGCCATCGCATTTATTAACCTCCACTGTGGTCCATATGCTGCCCATAAACAACCTATTTCCTCTCTTTGAAGGACTGTTTTCTCCCTGCCTCTGTGATAATGCTCTGTGTCCTCCCCAGAACCGCATGCAAGAGAGTCTGGCTCTGTTCTACACCACCATTCACTCCCAGTGGTTCCTCAACACCTCCATCATCCTCTTCCTCAACAAGACTGACATCCTGACTGATAAAATGAAAACATCAGACCTGCAGAAATACTTCCCCGGTTTCACAGGTCAGCTGGTCTTCTGTTTGTTTGCATTTAGGGTGAGGGTGTGTTGTAGTTTTGCTAGCAACTATCGGACAACTGATCAAACAATTTGTAAAAAAAGAAAGAAAAAACCATATTCCAAGTATTTTAGTTGATTTGAAGGCTTTTTGTGAAGATTTGGTCAGACTGTAAGATGTCTGCGAGTGCCTGTGCTGAAGTTGCGGTGGATTTAATAATGGCGGGGAGCACTGAGAGCACCAAGGGTTTGATATTTGTGAATCAGTCCGACACTCAGCCTCAACGTGGAGGTTTCAGACATTCAAATAAGAAATCACAGCAGCATCGAATGCAGACTGAGCCAAGTCAGCAGCCAGATTTCACTGCCATCAACAATTACAATTGCAGCTCATTGTTTGCAAGCGTTTATTCCCATCGCAGCGTGGACACAATCATGTCCGAGACACGAGGGCTGTGATGTTATTTTGCTTCAGCCAATTTGCTTTGAGCATGCAACAATTTCATCACGCCCTTCTACACCTGGCACAAAATGTGTCATTTCCAAAAACGTGTGTGCAAAGTGATTTCATTTTCTAATTCCAAGCTTGAAAGTCTCTCCCTCTGTCGCCCTCACCACGGCCACCAGACATTTTTTGCTCTTCTCTTCTTGCTTTTTTCTTTTCTTTCACTGCTCCTTCCCTTTCTACTTTCTTATCATCTTCTTTCTTTACTTACTTCATTCGTTCCTTCCTTCTTAGCATCTTTGCAGTCTTTTGCATTTCCTTGTTGCTTTCTTTATTCTGTTCCTTCTGTTCTTTCTTCCTTTCTCCCTCCTTTCTCACCATCTTTCTCCTCTTCCTCCCCCTTTCGGATATCTTTACCCTCTTCCTGTCTTCCTTTCTTTCTTCCTTGGCCTCTTCCTTTTTTTTTCTCCCATCTTTACCCTCTTCATGCCCCCCTTCCTTATTGCTCACCATCTTTGCCCTCATCCTTGCTTCTTTCCTTCTATCTTTCATTTCATTCTTCCTACTTCTTCCGTCTCTTCTTCCTTCCTTCCTTCCTTCTTTATGTCTTTCTTGTAGATGAGTCACTTCAGGTACTCTGTGCTTAATGACGAGGTTGCAGCCTTTAACTCTGCTGCTGTTAGAGGCAGTAGGGTGCCCCCCTCACCCCCACACACCTCCGCTCTCTCTCTGTAACCAACGGCAACCACAGACAGATACTGGCCTTCCTGCACCCCCACCTGAATACCCCCAGGTGTACAAGTGTGTGTGTGTGTGGAAGATTGAAATGAGTGACTGAAAGTGAAAATTTGCACATGTGTATGTGCGGTGCACACACTTTGTTTTACCACTAGCATTAGCGAGGTAAAATAATGACTCACACAGGGTCAAGCTCTTTGATGTCAATTTAACCTTAATGACAACTGTGAACAGCTCCTAGCACTGGCTGCTATTTGCCGCTAATGTGGCTGTGTTCCAGTGCAGGCACTGTGTGGTCCTTATTACTGCTACAGTGACTACTTCTGAAGGCTATACCTGTTAATAATCCCTGCAGTCTTCTACTGTTTTTAAAGCTGATTTGAACTTGCAGTGAAATGTTTAGAAATGGTATTATTATCATCAAGAAAGTATTCTAAATGATCGCCGTTTACGGTTTTTCAAATATATTATTTGCAGGGAGGTTTTTTCATCTGCTGATAGAATAAAGTCGAACATAGTGTTAGTTCAGGCAGACCTTGGAGTCAAGCTCTGCATGCCATTGTGATCGCTCTGCTGATATCCTTCTATGCAACTTTAGCCACCTCTAAATTCGAAATTGAAAATGTTTTGCCATGTTGATTAATCTAATTTCCATCTCATGCTTAGTGACAAGTAAATCTAAAATTCTCTGATGTCTTTGTTCTTCTCCATCAGTCGGTTTATTCCACCCAAATTCATCTCTTTGTTGTCCACTTCCATCTTTCACCTCCACTTTTCAACAGGCAGGAAACATGACCCCGAAGACGCTATGAAGTTTATCCGCAAGATGTACGAGCAGCAGGCCGTCACCCACAACAACCGGGAGACGTGGAAGACTCTGTACCCCCACTTCACCTGTGCCACGGACACCAACAACATCCGCAGGGTCTTCAGCGACGTGAAGGACACCGTGCTGCTCAAGTCTCTAAGGGACTATGGGATCATCTGAACTTTTACCAGGCAATGAAAGCCAGGAGGAAAGATGGTTCGTGTCTCTTTGTGGACATTTTACTTGTATGAGTGAAAGCCAAAATGGGATTTCTCTTTTCCACATAAAATTCCTTCTAAATTGCAGAAGTCAGAACATCAGGCATAATATTTTTGTGCCCCTCGTCCTCCTCTCATTCTTCATTTTAATTAAGGCGCAAGTGGAGATTGAAAGCACTTTCCTTTCATCACCACGACTATCACAACTTTACTCTCATCCCCTTCTTCTGTTCAGGAAGTATTTGAAACACATGACGAGGAGCCAGTAAACTCTCTCGTTTCTCTCAGCTTGCAGCTTTTTTGCCCAATTTGATGTTTCTTTTTCTAAGATGAAGAGGCGTTCGGGTCATGCCGCGACTGAATTGATCCATAATTGAAGCGGGAGCAGAGATGCTATGAAGTGCTGTGCCGCCATTAACAGAGTAATGACTTTTACAAGTGGAGATGGGGCCACACACGAATGCAACACCACTGTCACACATTTTAAGGGCTTTATGTGTATCTTCCAGTCCCATTCAGGCACCGTAGAAGCCAATGCACACTCCAACGCAAACTGTAAACACAAAGCGTTACTGTTATGAGCTGTATGGGCAATATGAGTTACGAACTACTGCACTCTTTTTTTTTATTAGATGCCCTGAATGTGGGCGATTGTTGTCACAGCGCTGTCCTTCATTGTTTCTGAAAAACATCCGCCGGCGTGCCAAAATCCCTATTGATTACAGTTATCTTTCACTGCCAGTATTTCTTTCATGTTATCTGTATTCAACACATCTGTTCAGCACAGTTGCCATCAAATCTGCAACTGCCACCTGTTGAGTCAGCCGTGACAGCAATATAGACGTACTTTTCGACTTTAGTGGCCGTAAGTTGCTCTTAAATGGTAAATGGTCTGTATTTGTATAGCGCTTTACTTGGTCCTAAGGACCCCAAAGCGCTTTACACTATACACAATCATCCACCCATTCACACACTGGTGATGGCAAGCTACATGTAGCCACAGCCACCCTGGGGCGCACTGACAGAGGCGAGGCTGCCGGACACTGGCGCCACCGGGCCCTCTGACCAGCACCAGTAGGCAACGGGTGAAGTGTCTCGCCCAAGGACACAACGACCGAGACTGTCGGAGCTGGGGCTCGAACCAGCAACCTTCCGATTACAAGACGAACGCCCAACTCTTGAGCCACGATCGCCCCATCATTTAAATCATTAAATGATATAAATGTGGAAAGAAACTACAGACTATATGTTGGAGTGAATCTGGACTGAAGTAAAAATTGTATAAACTGTATAAACTCCAAAAACCAGATGAAGGAAAGTTTAAAAGTATTGAGGTTTGTTTAGATTCACTTTTTTCAGTTTTTTTTAACTTCTCATCTTCTCTTTTAACTAACAAACTTGCAGTTTTTTAGTCAAACACTAATTAAAGTGTTTTCTGTAAAGCAGTTTCGCGTTGGGAATCCATCTGTCAGAGACTCTAAATCCTGACCGGCTCCTATTGTGCTCTTATGATGCAAAAATAGCCAACTGTTTGCTTAATATTATGCCCAGAGCGTCCAAAAGAATCTGCTAAAGCTGGTTTAGGTACTTAAAGAGGACATCTTGGACTTTGTGATTCAAAAATGCTCCCTCACAAGCTTCGTCGTGCCACTGGCAACAAATTACCTCTACTTGCTGTCGAATTGTTCAGACAAGGCCACAGACATCCATCATTTCTGTGGTTTTTGTTCACTGGGCTTTTGGCAGATGAATGTATTTAAGGAGTTAACATTTTGCGCAAAGAACAGGATGCGAAATGCTATTGTTGTTTTAGCCTCCAGAGCTGCCAGCTGCTGGAAGCTAGCCAGCAAAACAGAGTGGGCTCACTGAGAGGAGGAGCGCTCCAGAGTAAAGACAAAGACCTTTACTCTGTTAATGTGTATCGTTCGGTTTTTTTTCAAAAACACAGCAGGAGATAGCTCTCTTAGCTTGACTTTTAAATGTCCAGTTCGCATATGGTAAGCTAGAGAAAAGCAGGTTTTTGTACTTGAAGTTGTAAAACACCAGTTTCTTCCAACTCTGCTCAATATTTCTGTCAACTCCAAACACAATTCATGCTCTGTGTTAAAATCATCACCACTCAGAGAGTTGATTGTTTTGTGAACTTATTTTATAAAGTTAAAGATGGTAAAAGGTAAAAATAAATAAATGAATAAACTCAGCAGGTGATGCCTCATTTTGACAAAACTGTGTGTCAGTGCAAGTCAGCTGGAACCACATTAAGTCCTTTGTTGGCTTTTATGTATTAGCAAAACAACTCTCTGTTTTTATATTTTTGCCTTGTATATTTTGAAAAATTTGGATTTGGGAGAAACTAAAAAAATATTCAGTAATTTCACTACATTAACAGTCAATTTATACAATTTATATAATTTGCATAATTAAAAAATAAAGTATTTTATCCAAGCTGGTAATTCTTGTCTTTGGAGATACTTAATTCTTATAATATGTAATGGTTATTGTGATAGCATGTTGTGGAAACACGATTATTATGTTTCCACAACATCGTTGTAATCCAAACAGCCGTCCGAAGAAGTTTATCCAACATGCAAGTGCTTTAAACTGCAGTTTCTCTAACAGCCACTTGAGGCTCTAAAAGCGAGTAAATGGTAATAAACCCGACCAATATAGGATCCATTTGAAGTCCAGAAACCAATGGATGACTTCACTACGTCCTTCTTTTATCTACAGTCTGTGAGAATTACTGACACCAAACAAAGCCGTGTGGAAAAGAATATTAAACCAACCTTTTATGATATTAATCGTGTGTTTGAGTTCTGCTCTGTGTGCCTCATTTTATGACGAGTGGAAAATGCCCGTGACTTTAATGACTTTGAAGCTAATATCAGCTCACAGTGGTGGTTCCAGCTGCTTTTTTGTTGACTGTATATAAAGTGTTTTGATCTTGACTCTGCTACATTTTTCAGATGTGGCAGCTATATTTTTACATCTTTGATGATGCCCTCAAAGAAAAGTAATTCTACTGTACATGATAACTTCCGTGTTACTGCTGTATTTTTTTTAAACATTGTTGACCAACAGGATGTAAACTGTGTGTTTGAGCTACTGTGTGTGGTAGGTAACTATTTTTCAGAATTGTGAAACCTCTAATTTGGTGACAGTGAATTATTTTATGTAGAATCTGGTGGAGGAAGTGGACTTTTTTTTATAGTTAATATTAAAAAACCTCTAAACACACATTCCTGTTCTTCCTTCTTTCTTTGGGTCGCTATTCACTGTGCAGCAGGCAGGTTTTGCACCCAGTATTAGAGATCGGTGGATCTAAATATCGATAGAATGGATACCAATGATGATATTGGTTTCAGATTGATACTAGCGCAATAGAAACAAAGTATCAACCCTAGGAAACAGGGTTTAAATACACACATTAGGGAAAGTAGACACAGCTGGGGGAAAATGAGACAGCTGAACATAATACTAATGAGACACAAAAGTGATCAAAAGCACACAAAACGAATGACTGGTGAAATAAAACAGGGAAAAAATAAAACATGAAACTTGACGAACACTAATGGGGACTTAACAACTAGACACAGGGGAAACCAGCTCATGGACCGACATAACCTATCCAGAAACTGTAACCCCACACAAAATCCAAAACATAATAACATAAAACATAGGATAAAGAACACAAAACTCAAAATATGGGTTCAAAGACTCAGGATCATGACACTCTTTGACCAGAGTGGACTCATGGACATGAGTAAGGACCCGAATGCAGACACAAAGCTCAGTTACAAAAGGATAGACCAAAAGCCGACATCTAGAAATAAACTACAACAGGTGTAAGAAAATAAACCTTCAAAATAAGACAGAAAGCAACCAAAAGACATGTAACTAATCCTGAAACATGAAGAGTAACAATAGCATGACAGCAGAGCTGGGCAGGAGGAACTAGAAACACAGAGAAGCACAAGAGAACCAGCAACTATAACAGGGACCTTCACAGATATGTCCAGAGTGAGCCGCCGTGTCTGTCTGCGTGATGCGTTTTCTCCGTGCAGCGTTGTGAGGCTCTGTCACCAAGACAAATAAGGTCTCACAGGCGTCAATCACACGTCTGCTGTTACCTGCAGAAAAAAACCTGCAGGATTTGCATTGGATTGGCACACACACCGCTCATTTTCACCGAGCAGCGTGTGCGTCTGAGTTTGTGTGTGTCTAAGAAACAGACTGCAAAAATTCCTTTGTGAACACTGGTGTCACATCAACAAAGGACCAAACGTTCACCTGTTGTCCTTCTGAAAATGCAGATTCGACAGCTGACAGTAGATCAGGCTTCACATGGTTAGATCATAGTCGCCTCATCTGTCCATCTGACTGCCACAACCAAAGCAGCTCCTTATTAGTCCGTGACAGCCCGCATCCACAAACATTCAGTCACCATTTCTCCACTAAACTGTACACGCAGCATACATATTTAACAAAAAGGGATACATTGGAGCACATTTAAGAGAAATGTAATTCTAACACACACAAATGGGGATGCACACACAACCTCGCACTGCGCCTGATAATGGCTGTCCAAAGGAGGGTGAGACCGGTGCTGTGGCTCAGGTGACTGTTTCATCCAGACGGCTTGACATTTTCAAGCGTGCGTATGTGAGACGGGCGGGGTAGGCGGGGTATGTCTGGGTGCGCATGTGCTTGTGCATCTGTGTGTCAGTATATCTACAGACAACCTCTGTGCCTGGCTTTCTGAGAACCAGTTTGAGGAGATTTTGGAGCTAGGGTTAGGATTAAACTAAAGCAGTTTAAACACTTAGTTGTGATGGTAAATAGTGAACCTGTCTGTTAAAAGCACTGCCATTGTGTTAGGGATGAAAATGTTAGGTTCAATTCCATCAGACCTCTAAACCCTAAAAAAGTGAGACACTGAAACCACCGGCACCCTGCATAAAACTGAAAGGCTACTGTGAGAGAAACTGTTATGTGAGTACAGCCTTTCAGGTCGCACATAGACTCTCGTAGTTTGAAAACTCCAGGACAGGGGCAAGGGATTCCCAGTGTATGTGAGTGCCCATGTGATGAGCATTTTCAGACGTGTTAGTACAAGAAAACGACTTTCTAAATTAATGTAATAATTTATACAAATATTTAATTGCCAAACGACCAGTGTTGAAGTCAGAAAACACACTATACCACATTATTACAACACTGTGCTTTTCTTATCCTCTACATGCATTTTACAGTCAGTGTGCAGGATTGATGGGAACTTTGCAGCGGCTCTGCAGGACTTGAAGAAAGGCTTCTGTTGGCCTTAGGCAGTTATTCTACCTTTTATCTTAGTAAGTCTTTTAAAAAAGGAAAAAATTAACTTTATTCCTACCTCAGCAAGCTGCAATGACTGACTTGAATCCATCACATGAGCTCACAGAATGAGGTCCAATTTTTGGGACAGAACCAATTTTACATGGCTGACATTTAAAACTGATTCCTGTGGGAGTATGTGGGCGAAGCTTCCAAAAGTTGGCCTTGCTGAGAAATGAAGGATATAACAACAGGGGGGAAGCCAGGACCTTACACCCTTTACTCATAATGAAGGATTTGTGTATGTAAATCTCAGGTGGCAAACAGACAGGAGGCAAAGGAAAAAGAAAAAACACAACCTAAATGTCTTAGTAAGGTGTTGGGCTACTATGTCCCACCAGAACTACTTCAGTGCACCTTGGCATTGATTCTACAAGTTTGTGGAAATGTATTGGTGGTACGTAACCCCATTCTTTTTCCTATTTAGAGTTTTGATGATAGTGTGGTAGTGAGGTAAAAATACCTCATACTGCTAGGTCCATAAATATTTGTTTTCATACATTACTACAATGAATTTTAAATGAAACAACTCAAATGAAGTTAAAGTGCAGACTTTCAGCTTTAACTC